CAGAGCAGAGCCCACCTCCTTCTAGGTCCTGCTTCAGGGACCTGGCACATCCCCCTGGAGCCAGAGCCTGTCCCCAGTGCTGCCATGGGCAAGGGTGCAGAAAATCTTTCTGGAAAAGATGGTCTTTAAGAACATTTTGCCTCTGGGATTGGCCAGGTGAATTGTGAGAGGGACCTGCTAGTGACATTTTTTCCTACACCAGCCTGACACCGGGTGTGGGAGAGGTGGGGGGTGGATGGGCAGGGAGGTGCGTGAACTTCCTCGGGCTGCCATAATGGATCACCACAAACCTGGTGGTATAAGACAACAGAAATTTACCCCCTCACAGAGGCGAGAAGTCTGAAATCAGGGTGTCAGGAGGGCTGTGCCCCCTCCAAGGGCTTTAGGGAAGAATCCTCCCTTGCCTCTTCCAGCTTCTGGTGGCTTCCCATAGCCCTTGGTGTCCCTGGCTTGTGGCAGCATCCCTCCAGTCTCTGCCTCCATCTTCACATGGCCTTCTCCCTGTGTGTCCTCTCCTCTTCTAAGGATGTCAGTCATTGAGTTTAGGGCCCACTCTAATCTAGTATGACCTCATTTTGACGACATCTGCCAAGACCCTATTTCCAAACAAGGTCACATTCTGAGGCTCTGGGTGGACATGAACTGGGGGCAGCACCATGCAACCCAGTACAGGAGGTAAGGCAGAGGCAGACAGGTAGGGATCGGGAAGGGTCAGGATGCTGATAGCAAGGGTTCCACAGTAGAAACCGGAAGGCTGTGAGCAGAGCAACACTGCCTTTACACTTGGCCAAGTCTGGCCCTATGACTTGGAGGGGCCCACACTGGTCCTTCTCCAGCCGGGCCCCTTCCCACAAGGCAAGGAGCCATGGAACCAGGGAGATGCGCCCACATGGTCCCCACGACTCCCCACTTCTGGGCCAAGTCCTAGGTGTCCAGAACTCTGGAACCCCCTTCCTCAGCAGCACTGAGCCACTTCCAAAGGCTGCTCAGTTGTCTCCCCTAGCTCTGCCCTGCTGAGGGCAGGCTGGCTTCCAGTGTGTGCACCCCTAAACCTAAGGGAGGCTCAGGGGCAGGCATTTGTGGGGCTTAGGTCAGAGCTTGGACTTTTAGCCTGGGGTATGTTCACAGGCCCCTCGAGGCAGAGTGGAGAGTGTGGGGAGAGAAGCAGGTGGTCTGTGGAACTCCAAGGAGTCTGGGAGAGTTCTGAGTTCGGATCTGGCTTTCCGGGTTGTGGTGAAGGTGTGTTCCTTAAAGAGGGAGGCTAGGACGTATTTTATTTACACGGTTTCTTAGCTTGATATCTGACTTTAAATCTGTAGACATATAGTGTACATGGGCTCTTGCTCTGGGCCCTAAACACATTACAGACTGTGAGTTGAGATGGAGGCGCCTGGGAGCCTCTGGACTCAGGCTCTAAGAATTACCCTTGGTTCATCACTCCCTGAGTTACGTTGTGTGTGTGTGTGTGTATGTGTGTGTGTGTGTGTGTGTGTGTGTGTGTGTGTGTGTGTTTAACAGTTCGTTGGTCTCCCTTACCAGCATATAAGCTTCATGAAAACAGGGACCTTTTTCTTCTCATTTGTAAAGTGGGATTAACAATAGTCACTGTGGGACTTCCGTGGCGGCCCACTAGTTAAGAATCCGCCTGCCAATGCAGGGGACACGGGTTCGATCCCTGGTCCGGGAAGATCCCACATGCCACGGAGCAACTAAGCCCGTGTGCCACAACTACTGAGCCTGCGCTCTAGAGCCCGCGAGCCACAACTACTGAGCCCACGTGCCACAACTACTTAAGCCTGCGCGCCTAGAGCCCGTGCTCCACCAAGAGAGAAGGCACCACAGTGAGAAGCCGGCATACCACAACGAAGAGTAGCCCCCGCTCGCCGCAACTAGAGAAAGCCCACGTGCAGCAACAAAGACCCAATGCGGCCAAAAATAATAATAATAATAGTAATAGTCACTGCTTCATAGAGTTTCCAGAGGAGCAAGAGAGCGTGTGGATGCGAAGCTGGGAGTGCAGGGCCCGGCCCTCAGTGAGCGCCCTGTGAGCTCTGCTCAGGCTGCTGTTGGTTGTCTCTGGAGCCCCAGCACAGGGGAGGGTGCCCGGGAGGTGCTTTGCAAATGCTTTGTGGAATAAATGACGGAGTGGCTGAGGATGCAGGGGACTGTGTCCTCCCCAGCTCTCGGCCTTGCGGACTTTGTTCCTGAAGGCCAGGTTGGACCAAGGGGTTGCGTGATTCTCAGAACGTCCCCAGAGGCAAATGTGTGCCATCAGATCAATAAACGCAGGCTCTCCTGGCAATGTTTTATTACCAGATTGGCATTTTGAGCCAATTCCTCTGGATGCCAAGGGGAGCCATATTGGAGGAGGGGGCAGGAGTGTATGTAGGAGTGTATATAGGTGAACCATGTGGGAGGCGGCTCTACAAAGCCGAGGTTTTGAGAAATGAGGACAGCTTGGGTAGGGGTGGAGAGGTGAACGGGGAAAGGAGTAAACTGCTTGCTTCCAGGGCTGCCGAGCAGGTCGATGGACAGGACTTAGTGAGGCTTGGGTGAGGCTGGGAGGGGTCAGGGATGACACCTGGTTTCCGGTTAGCCTCACCAGACTGAAGGAGGTGCTATCCCTGAGGTGGGGGGCCCTGGGGGAAATCAGACTTGAGGGGAGGCTCTCAAATTCAGCTTTGGACCAGTTGAATTTGATAAGCCACCAAGACATCCGTTAGACCAAGTTTGAATCCCTGAGCACATACTGGCAGTATTGTCTGCACCAGGCTCCCTCACTCCTCTGAGCCTTGGTTTTCCTGTCTGCAAAACAGAATACCTCACCAGGTGATTATAAGGACCCTATGTGCAAATCGCCCAACCCAGAGCCAGGCACCATGAAGAGAAAACTATGTGTCAGTATTATTCACTCTGTCAGTGAGAAGCAACAGACACACAAGGCAAATTGGCTTAAACAGACAAATAATTTACTGTTCCTTTAACTAAAATCCAAGAAATAGATCTGAGATCCCCAGAGCTGCATGCAGAACTCAAGCATCATCACAGGGGCTCCTTATCTCCCTCAGGCACCTTCCACGTGTGTTCACAGTGGTCACTAGCTCAGCAAATCCAGTGGCAAGAGCGGGGGCTCTTTTCCTATAATTCTGGCAAAAAAAAAAAAAGGCACAAGAACGATTCTGATTGGCCCAACTTGGTTATGTGCCCATCCCAGAGCCAATCACTGTGGCCAGGCTTGGGTCACATGATTTCCCCTGTGGCATGGCTCCCCTGTCGGTGAAAGATAAAGCTGTGCAAGGAAAACCAGCAGACGTCCATCATGTTCTCTGTCTGTCCGGTGGGAGTTTCAGGATGGGAGGAGATGTGTGTGTAAAGTTTCCAGCACAATAGCCAAGACGTGGAGTCAACTTAAATGTCCATTGACAGATGAATGGAGAAAGAAAACGTGGTACATGCAATGGCCTTAAAAAGAAGGAAATTCTGAACAATGTGAACACTTGGATGGACCTTGAGGACATTAGCTTAAGTGAAATAAGCCAGACATAGGTTAAGTGAAATAAGCCAGACACCACTCCATGGTACCACTTATATGAGAAATCTAAAATAGTCAAACTCAGAGAACCAGAGAATAGAATGGGGATTTCCAGGGGGTGGGAGGAGGGGGAAATGGGAAGATATTGGCCAAGGGGTACAAAGCTTCAGGTCTGCAAGATGACTAAGTTCTGGAGATCTAATGTACAGCACGATAATGATAGTTAACAACACTGTATTGTACACTTAAAATTTTACCAAGAGGGTAGATCTTATGTTAAATGTTCCTATCACAAGAAAAAAGAATAGTAAAGAAGGTGGGAGGAAATTTTTATAAGTGATGGATATATCTATGGCATAGATTGTGATGGTAGTTTCACCCGTGTATACTTATTTTTTATTTTTAATTGAACTATAGTTGATTGACAATGTGTTCATTACTGCTGTACAGCAAAGTGATTCAGTTATACACATGTATACATTCTTTTTTAAATATTCTTTTCCATTATGGTTTATCACAGGATATTGAATATAGTTCCCTGTGCTATACAGCAGGACCTTGTTGTCTGTCCATTCTATATATAAAAGCTCACATCTGCTGACCCAAACTTCTACTCCATCCCTCCCCCAACCCCCTCTCCCTTAGCAACCACCAGTCTGTTCTCTGTGTCTCACGGGTGTATACTTATCTCCAAACTCAACAAGTTGTATACATTAAATACAGATAGCTTTTTGTATGTCAATCATACCTCAATAAAGAGGTTTAAAAAATAAAAATAAAGTTTCTGGCGCAAAGTAGGAGCTCAGTTCACGGTGGCTGCTTGCGTCAGGATTCTGGAGGTGAAACACCAGAACGGCCCTCCACGGTGCCCTTACCGTCTACATGTTTTAAAGTCCTTTACAAATGCAGCCTCTCCGCAACAACCCCCCATCCAATGGCACCTACTTTTCCTCAACCCCCTTCAGCCTTTCACCAAGCTTAAGAGATGGCACGGGAGAGGTCAGGGGAGGATTGAGGCATGTCCCAGCCCATGGCAGGGCACCATGCTGTCATCTTTGGTCAACCATGGACAGGCTGTGGGCTGACCCCAACCTGGAGACCCAGGGACTCCCTATTCCTCCAGGACCAGTGGGAAATTCCAGGACCTCTGGCATCCCCCCAACAGCCTGCACTCCAGAGAGAGGCAGACAAGATCAAGAGAATGGGTTTTGCACAGTTAGACAAAGACTTTGATGGTTCGTGTAACATCAGGGAGAAAATTCCAATACCCCGGGGCAAACTACGATGTGGATGTTCCTTTCAGCAACCTGCTTCTGATTGGAACTGCCCGGAGCCTCCCTGCCAATCAGCATGGGTGCTGAGAAATTGGAATTTTATAGCTTAGCAACGAGAAATCTGGAGGAACTCTGGAATTAATTTAAGGAAACGGGGAGGAAAAAAAACGAAGAAGGAAATTAGTAGCCAAATAACCAGACTGCCTGATTTTATTATTACCTTTGTGGCCAAGACAAGTCTTGAACATTTTTGGCATTAAGTACAAGCAGAGTGGGAACCAGCCAGCCATCTTGTCTCAAACTCTGCGATAATGTTTTGTTTTTGTTTTGTTTTCCTGCACTGGTGCTGGGATGGGGATGTGAACAGAGCCAAGAAAGAACAGACAAAACAGGTACAATAATTAAAGAAAAACCACACCCAGTCTTGTCTGCCATAGCTCCGTCCAGGAGCCTCTTGGCCAGTCTTTTTCTGGAATCATCTTCTATCATGTGATATCATGGATACCAGCCTGTCTGAAATGGGAACTGGAGGTCACGGCAGCTATAGAGGGTTTCTGCAATTTCAGATGGAGGCCTAGTCAGAGGTGATGATAGTGTTGGTTGGTCCATTCGATCACTGTTTATTGAGTGTCATTCATGGGTCACCGTTGAGTCAGGGGCTGTAGAACAGAAGTGGATATCACATTACTGGTCCCTACCCCTGTGGGTGGAGAGTCTGGCTGGGGCAGGGGGGGCCTAGATATTAATAATCAGTTAATTATATAAGGCATGAAGCCCCAGTACTTCTGTGGGGACTTGGTTCTGGTTCTCATGTCCTAGAAAACATCCATTTAGATGCCTCGCTGTGAGACAGCGTGATCAACTCATCCCAGTGGGCCCAGGACTTCCCTGATTTAAGCACCTAAAGTTCCCAGTCCTGGGAAACCCCAGGATGACTGGTCACCCTACCCTGGGACAGGATGAACTGGGGAAATAAGCCTCCCTTACCACGTGGGGCTTCCCTGTACCTTCTCCCCAAGCAGCCTGGACACAGGTTAAGCAGCCAATTCAGCTTGCGGCTTGGAACAAGTTACTTGGCCTCTCGGGGCCACTGCTTCCTCATTTGCAAAATGGGGTTTGACCTGGAGGGCTTTTGGCCTCCTGGTAGTTCTGGTTTCCCAGCCCTGCTGCTGCATTTCAGAGCTTAATCAATGCAGAGGGCCGAGCAAAGAAGACAGGGCCATGCACCCACGGTGCAGCCGTGGGCAAGTTATCTCACCTCTAATGCCTAGTTTCCTCCTCCATAAAATCGTAGTGATAATAGTACTTACTTCATGGAAATATGAGCACTCAGTTAAGTGAAAATATTCTATAGGTCTGGCATAGAGGATAGTCAGTAGCTGGAAAGTGTGGATATCCTGGTTAATGAAAAGTATGATTTAGAGTTATGAGCTTTCATAAGTAGTGACTGCCAGTTTTCAAAAAAAATTTTTTTAAACATGTACTTTATCACAGTACATACTCTTAAGATTGCCTTTTACCTCCGGGTGTCTAGTTCCATAAGGTGGAGACTAGGTCCTTTTTGCCACTGTCCCCCCCCATAATAAAGATTTGTTGAGTTCGTTGAGGTCACATCATACCCATTTTACAGGTGAGAAAATTGAGACTCAGGGAGGTTAAAGGTCCTGCCATTAAGTGGAGACATCAAAAATTGAACTTGGATCTGATTCAGGGTCCTGTCTCTCCACTAATTGGTCTCTACTTCCTCAGGGGGTGCACAGGGAGAGCACGAGTGACAGCAAAGGGGTGCAAGGAGGCAGATCTGGTGTGTGGGGGTGGGACTGTGAAGATCTGACTAGGAATTCTCCAAAGGGAGCAGCCACGGTGGGCCGAGCACAACACCAGCAGCCTGGCCGGATCCTCATGTGGACAGGAACCTTTTGGATGCTGCTTTCTCACCTCAGTGGTTGCCATGGAGACAGGAGAGGGTGTGCACACATGCACGCACTGAGATGTATCTCAAACCTGCTACCCAGGCTTGCCCAGAGATGCCAGCAGTGGTGGGCAAGTCAAACCAATACACAAGTGCACACAAGAGTAGAGTACATGGTACCATAAACCCCAGCTATCCGTCACCCAGCTTCAATAATCACCAACTCTCAGCCAACCTTGTTCCATCTATACCCCCTTCCCCTCCTCCCTCATCCCAGATACTCAGATACTAAGCAAATTCCAGACATCAACCATTTCTTCTGCAAATATTTTCGTTTATGACTCCAAAAGAAAAAGGATTTTTTTTTTACCACCATCACACCTACTAACAGTAATGCTTTAATATCAGCAAATATCCAGTGTTCAGAATTTTCTGGTTGTCTCATAACTGTTTTCTTTACAGTTAAAATCAGGATTCGTATAAGGTTCATACATTGTGCCTGGTTGATACGCCTCTTACGCCTTTCTTAATCTGCGGGTTCTCCCTCCCTTCCTCTTTCTTCTCTTGCAATTTATTTGTTGAGGAAACTGGGTTGGTTGCTCTGTAGAGTGTTCCGGTCTGGATTTTGCTTATTGCATCCCCGTGCTGGTGTTATACGTGTTCCTCTGCCCACTCTGTTGCTTGTAAATCAGTAGTTAGATCTAGAGGTTCACTTAGATTCATGTTTGTTTTTTGTGTTTGTATGACTACTTCCTAGTGGCTGTTTTGTATTTCTATTTGAAGGCACATAATGTGTGGTTGTCCCTCTTCATGATGTTAGTAGCCATTGATGATCACTGTCTAGATCCATTAGAGGTTGAAAAGGGTGGCTTACTAATTCTATCCTTCTGTCTTTGTTTGTTAGCTGGAATATGTCTATAAAGAAACTTCCCCTGATCAGCCATTTGGTTACTGTAAAGTATGGTTCATACCAGAAAGGATAAATGCTTGACTCTTTCGCCTGTATTTGACAGTGTTCAAAATAAGAAGTTCATCCCAGGGAGTTCCCTGTGGCCTAGTGGTTAGGATTCCGGGTTTTCACTGCCATGGCCCGGGTTCAATCCCTGGTCTGGGAACTGAGATCCTGCAAGCCATGCAGTGTGGCCAAAAGGAAAGAAAAAAAAAAAAAGTTGGTCCCAACATCCTCCAAAGATGACAAATGAGTTTATGCTTTTCTGTTTTTCTAAGTATCATTGTGAACTTACAGATTTGGACATACATAACACATTTCCATCTGTTGCAGTTATTATTCCTATTGATGCTCAGAATGTCCCATCTTTGGCCAGTGGGAGCCTCTTCACGTTGTCTTCCTGCCTCCTTTTGATATGTCCCCATAACAGCTTCTGAGCTACTGGGATGATAAGGTGTTCCAGGCTCATCTTGCATATTTCCCTCCTCAGACCTTGAATCAGCCCTATCTCCACAGAACCTGCAGAGAGCTCTTCTAGTTGGAAGTGGTGTTTAGAGACCACAACGTGGGTACTGGGAGTGCTCACTGTTAGTGAATTGCCCATTATTTCTAACCTTTTCAGTGGACAGGGGTAGGAAACACGTGCTTTATTTTGTAAGGCAAAATACTGATGCTTCCCATTCAAACTGGGGACTCCAGGTTCTTCACTTCATCTCTGTGATCTTACATCCGCATCTCCTTTCTTCCATGACAGTGTGACAAAGCCTGTTTCTAAAAGCAGAGCTCCGCTTTGTGTCTCCCGCCAAGCAGGAAGCATATGAGAAAGCACTTAAGCCTTTCCCTCAGAAATGAACCCGAGGCCTCTGATTTGGAGGCCTAGAAGTGGCTCTGAGAGAAGCCCATGTCAGGACCCACAAGGGACCACATTCTCATGGCAGACGAACCAGCTCCTCCCACCATCCTGTGTGTGGATCCTCTCATCTAACTGCTCTTAATCCTGGCTGCACACTTGAGTCACATGGGGAATTATAAAAACCCCTCTCAATCACAATTAAGTCAGAATCTCTGGGCCTGGGAGCCTGACATCACTACTGTTTTTTAAAGCGGTCCAGGTAATTTTAACGTGCAGCCAGGGTTTAGAATCACTACTCTAGTCCTTGCTTCTCAGCCAAAGGAAGAGAAGGAAATGAGGGGTATGGCAGATGCTGCCTTCAAAGCCCATTAGCTTGGGATTGAAACCTAGCACTGCCAGTTTCTACCTGTGAAATACCTGGAATGGCACAGAGCAGTAGAACCTTCTGCAGTAATTAAAATCTATATCTGCACCGTCCAGTGTGGTAGCCACTAGCCCCATAGGGTTATTACTGCAACCTAGGAAGTGAATTTTGGGATTTAAAAAATTTTAAATAACTTACACAGAAATAGCCACAAGTGGCTAGTAGCTACCATCTTGGACAGTGCCACTCTGCAAAATTACTTAACATCTAGGAGGCTCATCTCTGTAAAATAAGGACAAATAAGAGGGACTTCCTTGGGCTGTTGTCAGGATTAGAGATAATGTATATTAAGTGCCTGGTGCACATAAGACATTCAATAAAATGCTGCTTATTTTCCTTATTAACATCAGCCTGTTTTCTCCTTAAAGAAAAAAAAAAAAAAGCTTGCCTGGAAAATGAGTGCTCAAAAGCACCCCACCACACAGACTAAAAATTCTGAGCTGTTCCAGAGAAACTCTCAGAAAATATTCCTTAATTGTAGAAGTTCAATTACAGCAGGAGGTTATCAGTTGCAAGGGCTGTATTTCATTACAGATCTAGCCACAGCTCAATAAATTAAGCAATCACTCAAAATAACATGTTGCTTTAATCCCCTCTTGGAACAAATTCAAGTTGCTTGGTTTTATATTAGCACAGCTCTTGAAAGGCAACTCACATTGGCCTCAGTTCTGTTTTCTCAATTCATCAGCCCCTCTCTGGATAAATCTTTGCGTCTGCTGACTAGCAGGGTGGAGGATTCCAAGGCGAGCAGACCTCCTTTTATCAAAACCGGAGTGTTTTCCATCCTCTGGCCTCGACACGTTCCATGTTTCATGCACTGAAATTACTGGCAAGTTTATCTGCGGCAAAGACAGAAAGAGACCAAAAGGCAAGAGCCCAGTTCTGAAACACCTCTCAGCAGCCCAGTTCGGATGTGCAAAGCAAACGGTGGCGACTTTTCCACCCTCATCTTCTCTCTAGTGGTTTATCCTCTCACAGTAGAATTTCATTTGCCCTAGAAACTTGGCACTGGAGGTGTCAGCCCGGGAACATATTTGTTTGTGTAAATTAAAAGAAGAATATGTTTTGACCATATTTAAGTTCTGACCGCACTAAAGAAATAAATACTGAGTTGCACAATGCATCCGCTGCACAGTTCTGGCCCAACTCCCCAAACTCTGCCTTTGTTTATAAAAGCCAAACGAGAACTGTGAATGACTTAGCACCTCAGAAAGCCACAGGGACAACTTTGGAGGCCGTGTCCACCCTCACCCAGGTCCACATGGAAAGTCCACTTACCTGAGTTTGAGATTTGCTTCCTCCTGACATGCTGCATCCTTGCCAAGGGGGGCGAGGGTGTTGGAAACAGACACCCTCACTTGTGCATTGTTGATGGGCCTGTGAATGATGCCACCTTGGTGAAGGGCACTGGGCAATAGCTGTAGAAAGTTAAAAATGCACATATCCTCTGACCTAGAAATTCCACTTCTAGGAATGTATCTGATGGGGATACTGGGACACATGCCAGAGAGTATGTATGTTACAACTGCAAAATCCTGGAGTTAACTGAAATGCTGGCCAGTGGGGGACAGGTTAAGTATGGTGCATTGCTAGAAGTCATTAGAAAGATTGTGGTGGGTCAGAGGGCTGTCATGTCTTCAGGATATATTATAACGCCCAGCCCCTCCAATTTTCTTAATGTTAGGAGCCAAAAAAGTATATGCTCTCGACTATGGTTAGAAAATCTATGAAGATTATGCGGACTGCATACGGTGGTTACATTTAAAAAGTGAAACTGGAGTTAGAGAAAAAATGCAAAGGGGCTCCTTTATTTCCCCTATTTCCTTTGACCAGGGCAATGTAATACAACAATAATACTCTTTTTCATTACGTATCTGTCAGGCCAATGGAGTGGTGGTGGGAATCTTTGCTTTTCTGGTCTTTATGCCAATCATACAGTGGACTGAATGGCGATCCCCAGAGAGAGAAAAGCTATGTCCACTTCTCTCCCAGAACCTTCACAGGTTTCCTTATATGGAAAAAGATGTGATTAAGTTAAGGGTCTTGAGAGGTGGAGTTTACCCTGGATTATTCGGATGGGCACTAAAGGCAGTTACATGCATCCTTGTATGAGAGAAGCAGAGACAGACAGACAGAAGAACGTAGGAAGATGGAAGTAGAGATTGGAGTGATGCAGCCACATGTCAAGGAACACTGGAGCCACCAGAAGCTGGAAGAGGCAAGGCATGGATTTTCCTCTGGAGCACCTGGGAGGAGTATAGCCCTGCCAGAGTTTGGACTTCTAGCCTCCAGAACTTTGAAATAATAGATTTCTATAGTTTTAAGCCACTCGGTTTGTAGTAATTTGTTATGGCTGCCCTAGGAAACTAATACATCACCTGACACCTGTAAAACACATGAAGTGCATAAGGAGAAACAAATTTGGCAAGACTGTGGTTTTTGGTGAATTCATTCATTCCACAGATATTTATTGAGCATCTACTAGGTGCTGAGGAGACATCAGGGAACAAATCAAAGATGGCTGCCCACCTGGAGTTGACATTTCAGTGAGAGAGAGAGGGAGAGAGAGGGGGAGAGAGAGAGGAGATAAAATAAATAGAACATGGAGAAAGACTGATGGTGGTGGAAGGGAACAAGAAAGAGAACAAGAAAGCATGGAAGAGGGGCAGGGGTCAAGAAGGGGACTGGGAGAATGCAGTTCCCAGGTGACACTGAAATAGAGGCCTGAAGGGGTTGGGAGCACGAGCTGTGTGTCCACCTGAGGGAAGAGTATCTGGCGAAGGAAACAAGTATAGAACTTGACCCTCTGAGTGATCCATCTGTTGGCCAGACTCAGTAGGAGGGAGTGACCCTTTCTCCCCTCCTCCTCCTTTCCCTCCCTCCCTCCCGCATTTGCTTCCCACCTGCTGTGTGCCAGCTGCTGGGGGTGCAAAGATGAGTGAGACGCAGGTCCCCAGGCTCAAGGTCATGGGGGGTAACAGTCATAAGTAAATCATTGCAAATATAATGTGGTGGGCATTGGAGCAGAGGCCACAGCAAGCTGCAGGCTCCATCCTTGGTGGAGAGCAGGGTGGGAAGGGGAGGTGGGTGTATGTTGGGAATGAGGTCGGAGAGAAGCAAGCAAGCAGGAAGAAGGCAGGACTTGAAGTCCAAGAATAAGTGTTTAGCTCTGATTCAGTGGTAGATTAATTGGAGCGGGGGAGCATGGAGATGTGTCTGGGGAATCTCTCATTCCCAAGTACAGCAGGCAAACCTAGGGGAGAATGAGCTCTGAGGATAGCCTACCCCTTTTAGATTCACACAATCCGTGAAGAGGGAAAAACAGTTCCCAAGTCCTGAATTGGGATGCTTTGGACCATACGGAAACCAGAGCTGATCTCAGGTAGCTATGATGAAGAACAAAAGAGGCTGAGTTGCTCTTGGATCCAGGGACAGAACGCAGCGCCAGTCTCTCTCTCCACCCCATACCGCCATCCCAATCCTCATTTCTCCCTTCCTCCATACTGGCCTCAGTCTCTGTGGTCACAGATAGCTCTGGATGCTGGAGAGGGGGTGGGAAAAGCAGCCTTCTCACCAGCTGTGGTTAGGGTAATCCTGGATTGGCCCTGCTTGGGTCACATGACCACACCTGGACCAATCACTGCAGCTCAGCTCAGAAGTGGGCTGCTGTGATTGGTTGTATTTGAGTCACGTGTCTATGCCTGGACCAATTACTATAGCTGAGGCTTGGGTGCTGTAAGCGGCCATCTTCCCACTGGGCATCGTGTCCGTTAACGGAAGTTGGGGGGAGAAAGTGCTGGCAGGTGAAGAAACAAAAATAAAACCCTGAGCCATGTACCTCCTCCAGAGCCTTCTCCTGGTTGTGCTGCTTCCACATTCACTCTGCTGAGAATTGCCAAAATCCTGTGTTGGGCTTTGCTTTAAGATCCACTGTCTATAAACCCCAAAGCTGCCAGCCGAATTTACTCAGACCTGTTGTTGGGTTTTTTTGCCGTTGTTATATTATTTCAATCAAATGTAAAATGTTCTCTTCCTCTTTGGTTTATGATTGCCTCTCCTGCCCCTACGGGTAGGAACTGTGTCTGTCGTGTTGACTACTATATTACTCATGCCTGTGTACTCAGTCTCTTATGTATAAGTCCTCAAATAATTGAACGAATGAATGAATGTTCACTCATTCATTGAACATGCCACAGAGAACAGGAGGCGCTGCAAGGTCCTTATCTGCTCTCTTCAGTGAGTCCCTCTCTTCCACTCTCTCCCTCCTTCTCAGTCATGTTGCGTTCCCCTTCATGACAAGGTTTCGTTAGTCTAAGTGCATCCTTGCAGTGTCATCCCAACACAAACTGCAGGCTCTGAATCTCTAGGTGAATTCTTGGGTTGAGAGTCTAGATAAGCACGAGAAATAAGGTTCATTTGCTTGGTGGAGGCTGTCCTTTGAGAAGGATAATGGAGCTCTGTCTGAGCTGGGAGGGATTGGGTGCCATGATGGTTGCCAGTGTCTGCCATGGCCACCTGCCTCTAATGGGTATCCCTGGTCCTGCTACTGCTCTGGATTGCTTGCTCACCAGCAGGCCTCTGTCCTGCAGCCCTGTCATTTGCCGTGATATCACGGTACACTCAGAGTCCAGGACAAACTGGTGTGGCCAAATAAAACAACCGCAGGTTCTTAGGGAAGAAGGCTTAAGACAAATGGCTATTTTAAAAAAGTACTTATAACCCACATGTCAGCTGGGGTCATCTTATTTTTGGAGATTCCAATGGAACGGACTTAAACGCTGTCCCACATGCCATGAGAGACCCAACTCTCCTTTCCAGAGATTGGGGGTGAGGGATGCTTGTGTCTCTCCTAGGCACCCAAAGCTCAAAATTCCTGCAGCCAATCAATCAGTTCTCAGTTCTGCTCGGGCGCCCTTTTGCTGGCCTCATGGGCGCATGACTTGTGCTGTTGTACACGGTCTACGTTAAGTTTGATGTTCTACTGTTGTTATCTTGACCTTCTTAGTAATTTCTGAACAAAGGGCTCCACATTTTCATTTTGCAAATCCTGTAGCTAGACTTGCTTCACTCAGGAGCATTCCTTTCCCACCCCACACTGACTCACTCTAGACTATGCCCCAATTCCTCCACTGTCCCCAAATTCCATCCACACAAGGATATGGGTATAGGAGACTTGGCCTGAAGGTTTGGGATGAAAGGAAATGTTGACCTCTCAGCCAAGTTAACGGCATAAAGTGCAGTGTATGGACTGGCTTCAAACTACTCAGTGGGGAACAATGGCGGAGGGAAGGCAGGTGAAACAAGACTGGCAAAAGGTTGATCGTTGTTGAACCTGGATGATGGGTACAGGGTGCTTTCTCATTTTCAGTATGGTAGGAAACTTCCATAATACAAAGTTGAAAAAGGCACTATATGATGTGCCTCCGGCAGGTCCTCAAAATGTTAAAATGGAGTTGCCATATGACCCAGCAATTCTACTCTAGATATATTACTCCAAAGAAATGAAAACATACGTCCACACAAAAACACATGAATATTCAGAGCTGAATTATGCATAACTGCCAAATGTCTATCAACTGACAACTGGATAAATAAAATATGGATGTTATCTGTCATAAAAAGGAATGAAGTTCTGATATGGGCTACAGCATGGATGAACCTTTTTAAAAATTTTTTAAAAAATTTATTTATTTTTGGCTGCATTGGGTCTTTGTTGCTGAGTGCGGGCTTTCTCTAGTTGTGGCGAGCGGGGGCTACTCTTCCTTGCGGTGGCTTTTCTTGTTGCGGAGCACAGGCTCTAGGCGCGTGAGCTTCAGTAGTTGTGACACGCGGGCTCAGTAGTTGTGGCTCGCTGGCTCTACAGCGCAAGCTCAGTAGCTGTGGTGACAGGCTTAGTTGCTCCACGGCACGTGGGATCTTCCCGGACCAGGGCTCAAACCCATGTCCCCTACATTGTCAGGCAGATTCTTAACCACTGTGCCACTAGGGAAGCCCAGCATGGATGAAGCTTGAGGACACAAATGCTGAGTGAAAGAAGCCAGTAACAAAGGATCACATACTGTATGATTCCATTGGTAGGAAATATGCAGAACAGGCAAATCTACAGAGACAGAAAGTAGATTAGTGATTGTTTAGGGGTGGGGGCTGGGGGAGGGACTGGAAGATTGGGGTGGGGGGTGACTGTTAAAGGGTATGGGGGTTTCTTTCTGAGCGGATAGAACTGTTTTAAAATTGACTGTGATGATGGCCGCACAACTCTGTGAATATACTCAAAGCCATTGAGTTGTGCCCTTGAAATGGGTGAATTACATGGTAAATGAATTATATCTCAATAAAACTGTTGGGGGAGAAAGTCATGTCCTCCCCCCGACCCCCTTCTCCCGCCAGGAATCCTTAGGCTCCAGCCTCCTGCCTTTGGGAAATCTCTCCCTCCTCCACCCTCTCTCTGCACGTGTGTGCGTGTGCACACACACACACACACACCCCTTTCCATCTCCCCTTCCCGTTACCTTCTTCTGCCTTAAGACTTTTTTCACTCTTTTGCCATTGCCACCAACTACAGAGAAGTGCCTTCCCCAAAGAGAAGTTCCTTCCACAGCCAAAGTGCCCCATAGAGGTATTTTCCTAAACACTTTGCTCTTTAAGTTACTCACTTCCCTTTCAGTCCTTGCACGTAGGGGAACAAGGTCGTGAGGAAAGGAGCACGAGGTGTGCTGCCTCCATTTCTTCTGCCTTCGGTTTGTGAGCTTTTCGCAGGGCTTCCAACAGCGCTATGTTGGGACAAAGCATCCGGAGGTTCACAACCTCTGTGGTCTGTAGGAGCCACTGTGAGGAGGGTCCAGGGAAGAATTTACCATTTTCAGTGGAAAACAAGTGGCGGTTACTAGCTATGATGACTTTGTACTTTGGGTCTGGATTTGCTGCACCTTTCTATATAGTAAGACACCAACTGCTTAAAAAATAATCCATGAGACAGATACGAAGAGGAGCATTTTAAGTGTGCAGTCTCTGAAGAAGGATCAAACTCTTGAACTCGGCATCCTAGATATGTTTGTAAATAAACTATGGCATAAAAAAGTTACTCACTTGACAGCTATTAAAATTACGATTTTAAAGTCCCCGTGGTGATCTATCATGGCAGTCAGTAACAAGTCCTAGTAGTTGTAAATTCCAAGAGCTTCATAATCCCAAGGAAAGAGGGGCCAACTCAACTTCTCCCAAGCCCCACTGGTCTCTGTTCTGAAACGTAACTCAGTCACCTCACAGGTGGGGAGAGAGGGTGAGGAAGAGCATTGCCAGGGCCAGGTTCTTGCAGGTTTTGGGGTCTGGAACAGGGTGGGCAAACTATAGCCTATGGGCCAAAATCAGCCCACTTCCTGATTTTCTAAATAAAGTTTTACTGGAACACACAGCCACATCCATTCATTTACTTAATGTCTCTGGTTGGCTTCTTGTTACAACAGCAGAGTGGAGTAGCTGTGACAGGGACTGTATGGTCTGCAAAGTCTAAAAATATTTAGTATCTGGCCCTTTCCAGAAAAGGTTTGCTGACCTGACATGGAAGATCCAGGCTTGAACTCCAGCTCATCACATGCTGGGTGTGTGACCTTGGACAAGTCAGTTCCTCTCTTTAAGCTTGTTTCCTCATCAGGAAACCAGAGGCAGTAACAGTGCCTCCCTTATATGTTGCTTGTGCAATGAAAATGACTTCATACGTGTAAAGTGCTTACTTCATATAAAACACTCAATATATGTTGGTGGTTACGATGTTATTTAGAAAATTAGGGCAGTATCTCCTACTTCGTATGGTAATTATGTGAAGTGATGGAGATCAAGCCTGTGAAAACAGTTGGCCAAAAACACGTTTATTATTGTTATAAATATCTTAAAGGCTTTTGAGAGGATTCTTTGCTTCTTAGTAAAGCTACATTAAGTTTTTTGGGGGGAGCAAATTTGGAAATGTGTGAGTGTAGAAAACTCTAATTTCAGAGGAAAAGAGGACCCTTAACCCCCAAATCCAAACTCTCTCATTTAGCAGTCCAAGAAACTGTTACTCCCTGATCCTCAGCTGGGACTTGAACCTGCCCAGAACTCAAGTACTCTTTTGGCTGAGCTCGGTATCTTCCCCAATAACAGGTGCTCAGGAATCCAGGCCTGCATGTCTTTAAACACTTGTGTTGCCTCTGAGGTCCCCACCAGAACCTGTTTAAACAGTAATCTGCTACGAGGTATTGGCATGCAGGTTTGCGGCCCGGGTTTGCAGCCAGGGTAGGGAAGAGACCTTTGTCTCCACACCCTTCAGGGGATTGTCCAGAAGCCAGCTGAGGGTAGCCACCATTGATGACCTGATTTCCTGGACGGTGTTATTTAAATCGGGTTTAGTTTGGGAGATACGGCAGCCTCCCATCCATTCGCTTTGTTTCACAGTGATTAACTGAGTAGCTAATACATGCCAGGCCCTAGGGATACAGCAATGAATGATTCACCCCCTGCCCTTGGCAACTGCCCCCCTTCCTTCTGATGGGGGCGACAATCAAATAGGCATCTGGGCAATTTGGCCCCATAATAAGTCCTGTATTCTCCCCAGGATTTCAGTCCCACACTAAATACTGTACCAATGAATTGGAAAACCACTCTGGGCCAGCTGTATGATAGATGGATGGTAGGAGTTAAGAGTGCCAGCTTTGGAGTAGGTCAGATCTGGGCAGGACTGGCTCTGTAATTTGCTAAATGAAAACGTGGGCACCTTGTTCGAAAATTATTCAAAATTTCAGGATGACAACAGCAGAGCACTGAACTATGCAGGGCCCACGCTGTGAAGCTGGCCCTGCGCCTGGGGTCAAACTGCTTTCCAGCTGGGAACCATCGGTCACATCTCTTCACCTGTCTGAGCCTCCATTTCCTCATGTGAACAGAGATGCTAAGGCCAATGTGAGGTCTGGTTGTGGCTAGTAAGTGAGATGAGGCAGGTACAGCGCTGAGCAGGGAGGGCAGGCTCCGCAATGTCACTGCTGTTCCCAGCCTGCAGTGATGGCTGCATTTCATCCTAGGAGAAGAGCGCACACTTATGACTCTTAGATAATAGCTAAGACTTAGACAGCAGATGGTTGATGCCAGACACTGTCTTAAGTTCTTTATGGATGTTCATTTCTTCCTCATTACAACCCCATCATGTAGAGATGGAGAAAATGAGGCCCAAAAAGAAGAGGGAACTTGCCTGTGATCTCACACCGGTCAGTGGAAAAATCCAGATTCAAACATGGGACATGTGGTCCCTGGGTCTGTGTTCTCAACCGACTACGTGTCCCAGGAGTCGACACATCCCTGACAGGCACACTTGCATACACACGCATGTATGCATGTACCTTCTCTGAGATGCTACCACAAGGCGTACAGTGTGTAACTGTCCCCATAAGATGGGATTCTTTCTCTCTCTTTTTTAAAAAATTAATTAATTTATTTTTTGGCTGCGTTGGGTCTTTGTTGCTGCAAGTGAGCTTTCTCTAGTTGCGGTGAGCGGGGGCTACTCTTCGTTGCGGTGCACGGGCTTCTCATTGCGGTGGCTTCTCTCGTTGCGGAGCACAGGCTCTAGGTGCGCAGGCTCAGTAGTTCTGGCACGTGGGCTCAGTAGTTGTGGCGCACAGGCTCAGTTGCTCCGCGGCATGTGGGATCTTCCCAGACCAGGGATTGAACCCCTGTCCCCTGCGTCGACAGGTGGATTCTTACCACTGCGCCACCAGGGAAGTCCCTTTTTCTCTGTTTACTTGCTCTTTTGTCTGTGCCCTGCGACTCAACTTGGAGCCCCATGAGGGCAGGCACTGTCTTGCTTCCTGCTGTACCTCTGGCACCTGGCACTGTGCTGAGCACACAGTAGGCCCTCAATAGACATGCACCAGTGAAGGCAGGTGGGAAGCAGGCATCCTGCCAGAGTGCTCTGATCCAGAATCAACAGCCGCAGTTCCCAGAACCTCAAGACTGCGGCCTTAAGAACTTGTTTGGGGGCGATCTCGTGGCTAGAGGAACCATTTCATCCCCTCCTGGCTCTTCTCACTTGGGGTCCTCTCACTGTGCAAGGCAAGGGGGTGAGAGGCATTTAAGGGGTGCCCTAGGGCCCAGCCCCCATCCTGGCAGGCTGCAGGGTGAGGGCACGGGTTGTGCTCTGGCAGCTGGGCCACAGCTGTCTGCCAGCTTCTCGGTGCCTGCCCCAGCTGGCCAGCTGGGCCCTGATGCCACCCCCCACCCCATGACACAGCAGAAAGTGAAACCAGAGCCCGCCCCTGCTGGCTGGGACCCAGTGCTTGCTGTTTCCCCATCCCAGGCGGTGGGTGGGGAGCTGATGCCCAGGCCTGGCACCGGGTGGCCTGTCCAAGGAATACCCCTCCAGGCCAAGGGTGCCGCTGTGCCCCCTGCCCATCCCAGGGCCTCCGGTGCCCACTGCCTTCTGAGCCGTGCCCTGTGTGTGAACCATCATAGCCGCTCAATTGAGTCCCATTAACCCCTGATCGTCACACTGCTCTGAGACAGGGGGTTAATTATTCTCCCCATTTCACTGAGAAAACTGAGGCTTAAAGAGGTGCCTCGGCCAGGAAGGAGGGTGCTGGGGCAGCAGGATCTTAAAATAAAAGACAAATCAGAGCTATGGGTGGGCATAGGGGCAGAGATCCAAGGGGTCTCACTGGTGTTGGCGAGCAGGGCAGGAGTTTGTGGGGGGAGAAGACACGTGACCCCCAGTTTGTCACAGGTCGAGCCCCCTGCAGATTGGAATTGGCAACCTACCCCTCCCCACACCAACTCCATGGGTGCAGAAAATCCCTAAGACAAATAAGATTTCTTAAGAGGTGGACTATGGGGAATTCCCTGGCTATCCAGTGGTTAGGACTCCACGTCTCACTGCCGAGGGCTGGGTTCAATCCCTGGTCGGGGAACTAAGATCCCAAAAGCCATGCCATGCGGCCAAAAAGAAAAAAAAAAAAAAAAAAAGAGGTAGACTTTGAAACTTTAGAAAGTATCATGTTGAGTTCTGCCCCATCCTCAGGCCACCCGTACTCTCCTTTGCTTAATATTTTTCTTTCAAGCAACTCACCCTCTTTATCTTGCATAAATTGATGTAAAAAAGAGCCCTTCTACCCCTACCCTAAACTGAAAGCCAACTGCTTGCCATAAGTAGAAATCTGCTGTACAAAGAAATACCTGTTAGAATAATTTACGTCTCTAGCCAGGTGCCACTTAAAATCATGTACATATCAGACTTGGGAAACTTCTATTCCAAAACATAGGTTTCCTACGTGAGGAAATGGAGGCCCAGAGAGGTTGAGTCACTTGCCGGGGGGTGACACTGCGAAAGAGTCGCAGGGCTGGGGCTGCCCGATTCCATGATTCTAGAAACCTGTGCTTACTGCTGGGCTGTAGTCTCTGCTCCTGTCCGAGCTGTCTTAGCATATGAAGCGTGTATTAGTAAGTATCAGCACTGACAGCTTCCATGTTTCATGCTTTGGCATCACCACTTTCAAAGCACTTTCTGAGCTTGTCAATCACTTGAACTCATGATAACGCTCTAGGTACAGGTGAGAACCCTTTCAGAACACAGCATGGGGTGTTGCCCCTCCCTTGCCAGAGAAGGAAACCGAGGCAGAGGGTGGGGAAGTGGTCTGACTCAGGGAGCTTGTGAGCCAATCAGGACTGTCCAGAGCCCCTGCCAAGGTGAGGATCCCAGAGGCCCTGCTGGAAGGCCCAGGCTGAATGTGAATCGCCTTGTCAAACAGGTAACACTTGTTTCTTCCCCACTTTCCCCACCTCCCCCACCATGAACCCCCAGAGCAAACGCTGACAGCAGCCTCAGCTGCCCTGTTTCCCAAGCCTGATCTCCAACATTTGGCCCCTGGAGGGCAAAGAGCACGTTTAGGAACTGGTGTCTGCGGATGGCATCTTTTCATTTTTCATGGTGCACCCAGTTCTGAGCACTGTTGAGGGGAGCTCTACCAGGGACCAGAAGGGAAGGTTTGGGGGAACATCTTTGTCTCTTCTTTTAG